AAGTCCGCTCTAGTTTCATCTCTCAATGATTGCCAAATTACCTACTGCTAACAACAAAATTATCCCTCGTTGTAGCACATGGTTAACCGGATTATCCATCACCTAGCGGTGTAATCAAGTAATAGAGCATGCACATAGCTTCATTGCTAATACCCATTTAATCTAGTTCGATTACCAAACCTCATTAATTCTCAATCCAATAATTTCTCTCAATTCAATCCATCCCAAATGTATATGATGCACATGATGTTTTAATTACCACATCCATCCAGTCTTTCTCAAACCATATTTAGAATCCAATCCATACATAGGATTTCATATATATGTCATATATCTTATATAGTATTCACCCTAGGAAATCAATTACCACCAATTAGTATTAATCAACCCATAAACTTTACTTCATACGTAAGTAACTTTATTTTGTTTAATTTGTAAGTCTTATCATAGGTTTTATCCTACCACTTAGCTTACATAAACATAGTCCTAAGGACCAAATTTAAAATATACTAAAGGTGTAATGTCTTTTCTAACCTAAATTTTAACCCTACTGACCGAATTTAGCTCTTATAATTTTAAGCCATAAATTCCAATTTTCTTGAAGTTTTACCTATCTACACATCAAAATATACTTATCCAAGCACAATTGAACCAAACATTCTATAGTTGGGTGAGTGAAACTCAAACCCCAAAAATTAAGGTTTAGGCCGAATGTAACCTAAGGGTTTGCATAGATTTTCCTCCAATTGAAGCATCAAAGTCCCATAATTTAGACAAGTAGGTCGAATGGTTCCCTTTAGGGAACCTAGGAATCCATCCACCAAGGTTCAATGTAACTAATTTCGGTCCAAGCCCATCCATTCACCAACTCAACAACAAATGCTTAGACATAAAGCAAAGCCTTATAGGCTCAAATGAGTAACCATCCCAACAATTCATCAAATATAAACCAATAAATTCAAGTCAAACCATCATGCATATAATATCAACATAAGCAATCCATGACAACATAACTAACAACTCAAGTCATTCACATCAATTAAGCACTTAGAACTCAAATTTATGATGTAAAATAAAACCCACTTACATTGATTCAAGCTTCCTAGAAAATCTCTTAGCTTTTTCCCTCTCATTTCCTTATTCCAATTCGACTTTCCTCTCTCTTTAAGTGAGCTAAAATTTTGCTAAAAAGTGGTCGGCCATACTTAGCTCTTTCTTATATATATATATATATATATATATATATATATATTCAACTTTCTTCCCTCATAAATAATCTTAACAAGTGCCCTAATCTAAGTTGGCAAGGTGTAAAGTAATGGAAGGCAATGGATGCTTAGGTGGTGGGTTTCTTGGTCAAAGAACATGAGGTGTAAAGTAATGGAAGATTGGAGAAGCCTAGGTGTCAAGTTGCCATTTAAAGGATAGGTGATGGGATTGGAAATTATTCCTAGGGTATTTTGCTCCAAGAATTTGGACATTCTTATCATATTTAAATGATTTCCACTTGCATAACATATTTTAAATATGTGATAGAAAATAAATGTCAACCAAATAAGTTACCCGAAATTATTCTCATAAATACTTACATAAACACCAAATATATTAACACCACAAAATATTAAAACCTTACATGAACTACATCCTATTTAGTATATATTTATATTCCAATATATATGTGTAGTTAAGAATTTTTTTTCACAGGAGTTACAAATGACCACCCTCTCTTGAGGAAAAGAGCATGCTAAGGGAATGATTTGGTGTATACTCTTATTATGCAAAGGAAAATGAGGAAATGCCAAGGAATGATCTAGTGTATATTCTTGGCATATAAAGGAAAATGAGGACACACTAAGAGAATGATCCGATGTATACTCTTAACGCATAAAGGAAAATGTTATCCGAAGATATCTAGTGCTTTTGTAAAGTTTTCGCAATTGAATATTTTAAAAGATGATCGATTATATGCATAATCAGCAGTGGTCAACTCGAAGAGAAAAATGAATTTCAAAAGGCATGAAAATGACTTTTAAATGCATCACGTGTATTACATGCATAATATGCACTACGGGCATCGCATGGATTATACTTACCGAGTATCGCTCACCTTTGTTTTTTAATGTGTAGGAGAAAAGAAAGATGAATAAGGACCGTTGCTTGAGACATATTGAAGACTTTCCATGAGTGTGCTTACTATGTGAAATGAATGAGGAAACTTAGCTTTGCTTAACTTAATTTTTAGTTATGTATAGTGGTGATAAGTTAAGCAAATATGGTTTGTATTATTAAAGGATATGGTTTGGATGTTAAGTTTAATATGATGCTAAAGATTTTTTGGTTATATAGCTTGGTAAATTAATTGATCGCTTAACTAATTAATATGGTTTAAATGAACAAACTAGTCATGAAAATGAATTAATTAAAAGTAGAATGAAGATAACAACTAAATGGTTACTTAATTTAGTAACAAATGAATTAATGATAAAAAAAAATGGAATTAAAATGGCATGACAACAAGGTGAGTAAGGTTAAGGCATAAAGTGAAATTAATAATTAAGGAATAAATGTATTTAATGAGTTAGTTTTAAATAAATTAGGAACCAAAGTTCCTTAAGTCCAAAAAATGTTTTAAGTGATCAAAATAATATTTAAAGGTCTAAATGAATTTAATAAATGCTTTATTGAATTTTTGAAAAACTTTGTACCTAAGTTTTATTTAACATAGACCTATTATATTATATTAATTAGGGACCTCATACAAAAACACCCACTTTGCTAATATTTTGAGAAGTTAAGAAAAGAGGCTTGTTGACTTGCATTTATTACACTCCAAATGCAAGTCAACGCCGATAATATCCTCGATCTATCAAGGTCTTTGACACGAGGTGTTACGAGTAAGTCTAGTTTGATCCCATAGAGATTAAATTAAATTACTCTTCTTATATTTAATCACGCGAAACCACTTGAAATAAAAAAGGATTGTATCAAATGTTAGCAAAAATAAAAAATTAAAATTAAAAATAAAATTAAAATTAAAATAAAGAAATTACTCAAGAGAAACAAACTCGATCAAGAGTGAACATTTACCTTCGAATTGCAAGATGATCATAAACAACACTTAAGAACCTTATTCATGATTTATTATTCTATCTATATTAATCTAAAAAACATAGATGAACTCATTCTCCTTACTTAATCATCAAAAAAAAAAAAAAAAAAAACCATGTTATTTGAATTATAATTTCTAAACCACCTAGTACAAGCTCTTTACATGTAATCCAACAACAACATTAACGAATTAGAAAAAAATCAAAATAGATAATCAACACTAAAATAGTTTGGTTTAACCTAACTTCTATTATTTTTAGATTATACTCGATATCAACATTAGAGATCACTAAATCTAATTGATTATTGGGATAGGTTTTATAATGATTATGTGTTATAAATCCTAATCTAGCAATTATCAATTAATCATAATCAACTAGTATGCATCATAAGCAATTAAGAACATCAATATTATGAAGTTAACATGAAAGAATAAAAGATAACAAATCTGAATAAGTCATAAAATTAAAACAAAGGTCTCATAGCTTGTTTTTCAAAGTTCACATCACTCTTGATCCAAAAGGAAAATTAACCTTGCATCTTCAAGAACAAATTGCAATAAAAATTAATTGTATAATAAAACCCTAGCCATGTCTCCTTTTTTTGCCTCAAAGGCTGCCTATTTATACGTAAGAATCCCTACAAATCAGGCCACAAAATTGGCTACACTTTCCTATTCTATTAGGATGCTCAATCGGAAAATGCGCCAGATTAGGCAATAAACTTATCAATGACTTTCCTTATTGATAACAACATCTTTTCTCTTTTAGGACTCATAAAAGTTATAGATATGGATCTTAAATTTTCAATAGACTTGGCCTTACAATAAATAGATGTCTGTAACTTCAGATATGAATTTAATACTATAGTTGGTTCAGGAATCATATGTCAGAATCTTGTTTTGTCTTCTCAGCTATTTTCGAGCCATCAAACGTGCGAACTAGATTTGGATCCCTCTTGACAATTGTAGTATATGTCTTAGCTTTGCAATGAGCTAAGACTCACACAAAATGGAGGTCTAGAACTTCAGATATGTTAGAATGTTTGAAACTATATCAAACTACCTCTGTTCGCCTTAAATGTTTCAAAACCTGTCCAAATCACAAAAGAATACATAAGCAACTCTATTAGGCATTTAAACCTTATAAAAGACTAAATATAGGGTGAATTAAATATATAAATATGTTTCTTATCAAATACGCTTTACCCTAACTCACACTCAAACACATTGCCACCTAGAGAAAAAAGTAGTAAAAACACCAAAATAGAAGTCGTAGAAACCACTGCGGTCACTCGTCTCCTATGAATTTTCCAATGACATGTGCCAGCCGACCAAAATCTTCTGAAGAAGATGGTCACAATGTCATCATAATGAGTCCATTCTGACCATTGAGCAGCCCTCATGTGCCACTTCTATGGGCACTGTCATTGATGATCTTTTATCTAGTTTGGTCCTATAACTTTAATTTAGATATTCAAACCCTTGAATTTTCATTTTTTTTATTTAATTTCATCCAAGTTTTGTGTGATGTATAATTATTTTGTTAATTCATATGCTAGTACTATAAATTAGGTAATTAACATACATATTAGATGATTAATTGAATTAAAATTATTTAATTTGAACTTAATTAAAAAAATTGAATTTGGAGTCCTTGGTGTTAATTAATAAGTTTAAAAAGCTATAAATTTAGATTCTTCGTCATTTATGTGTATTTAAAATTTAATTTTATTGGGATAGGGAGCATGTAATATTTTTAGGGTTTATCTTATTTTTATTTGTAATATATATACTTTTTATTATTTTCTTAAAATTGTTGGGGTTAAGGAATTAACTTAATATATATATAAAGTCTTAGAAGAATTGTTGGTCCATTATCTCGTTAGTCCTGCTATTTCATCAGGAGTAACGGGATAATGGATTTCTTTTCAACATCCCGAGATAATTCTTTCCTCATATCTAATCCATCTTCTTCCCCTGAATAATCGTGCAGCACCCTTCTATAGATTACATACCCAAGCTTCTCATACATCTTTATGGTTGGTGTATTTGATGCTCTCACAAAAAGATCTACAAAATAAGCGTTATCAATCTTGTCACTGATGTCTTCTAAAAGATTCGTAAGTTTATTAGCCAACTGCTGCCTGTGGTATTCTGTAGCCACAGTTACTACTTTAACAAATCACCTTAGAAAATCAGAGAACATACAAAAATATATTCACCCACCACCTAACGAATTTAACAAATCACCTTAGAAAATCAGAGAATAAAGAAAATTGATGGGGTGTGATTCAGAACAAGACTGCAATAAAAACAATGTTATAAAACTCTAATAAACTTGAATAGACAATGAATAGTGAGCAACCCAACACTCTTGGATAATAGAAGAGTGTCAGAACCCCTCAAAAATCCAAAAAGAAGAAGCATAGTTATTTATTAGCATCAAACAGACCTGCTTTAAGGATTCATAGTTGACTAGCTTCCTGGTATATAACTACGATGTTCTGGCTTTAGCTTGTAAAAATTCATACTATGACATCATAGAAGAGGTAGTTTCCTATCATTGTGCCTACTAGTCCTCCCCGCAATATTAAGTAAAGTGATTGTTAAAACATTAATTTCTTTTTGAATATCTCGTTATTTTGCAGGTGCTAATAGCAAGAAATTTGCCAACCTTTCCACTAGGACGATAACGCATAGTAGTAACTATCTCTCATGTAGAGAATGCCTCTGGATTGCAATGGATCAGTCCATATCATTTAAAGTAGGGTTGCAGCTTCTGGAATAAAAAGAAAGGATTATATTGAAAATATTAGTGAATTGGTGGAATGAATGCCAGTAGAAAACAAAAATAGAGGCGTCACTTCCTACTATATTTTTCTTATCTCTACTGTTTTAACAAAATAAGGTATCCATCCATCCAATCTACAAAAGCAATGACGCCACCAGAAGCCAATAAGTAACAAATCTCTATTTTTTGTCATTAGGTTTTACTAATAAATCAAACCCATTAAAATCTTAAACAAAATACCTTAAATGAACTCTGAGGTTAGAGTCCCTTGGGTTGCAAGCTGTATGGAATAAGATATCCACTAGTCATAAGCAAGCACAGAAAACCCAAATTGAAAAATATTGGCACACTTACACTTGGTGGAATGATCAGGCTCTCTAGAGTACTTCACCTAAAAAAGCAAAGAATAAGAGACAGGGTGTGCTTTAGAGATGTGGAGATTCAATGCAACCAACAAAGAAAGAAAGGGAGAGAGAATTGGAGAAATACCAAGGTGGCTGCACCTTCTGTCTTGTCGAAGCTGGAGATACATTGATTTGGTGGCTCTAGCAGAAGAGAATGAGAGATACGATTTATATAAGGTTGCTAAATCAAAGCAACAAAGAAAGAAAGGAAGAGAGAATCAAAGAATTACCATGGTGGTTGCATCTTCTGCCTTGTCAAAGCTGGAGATACATTGATTTGGTGGATCTAGCGGAAGGGAAGAAGAGGTGAGATTTATCTAAGGTTGCTAAAACAAAGAAACCTTAATTTTAATTTTTGCTGCAGACTGATTTTAACTACACTCCCCTCTTCGAATAATTCGATTGAATAGAAAGAAAAAGAGAAGGCCTAAATATAAAACGAGATAATGAAGCTTTTTTTTTTTTTTTTATGGGGCAATTTTAGCAACCGCCTCATATTTGTTTTATAAATAGTGTATGTAAAATCAAAACAATTAAAGTCTGAGGTGGTTTTATTGACCGCCTTAGACACTCTGCCTCTATCACTTAATTTTGGTGTAGTGAATGAAGCTAGCAATAGGCTAGGTTTTTTGTTTCTGCGAGAAAATTAAAATAAGTCAATATGAATTAACAGGGAAAGGACCTCGTGAAGGCCAATTAGCTATTTTATTGTTCATAGAATCGTATGTGCATGATGCATGGTCTTTATGTGTTTAATTTTATTAGTTCTTATATTTTATGTGTTATTTGAATGTGATGTTAGTTTACGACGGTTTAGATGGAATAGATTTAATATATGAGATCAACTTTATTCCAATTATAAAGTTTTTACTATTATTATTATTATTCTCATATTTTATTTGTATTCTTATTATTATTTTTATTTATTTTTTAGTCTTACAGACCTTGTCTTCCTTCAAATTTAGTTTTGAACTTGGTGTTAGGTTTTGAGCATAATCTTATTATTTTAAAAATGACATGATAGGTGGATATGAGCTTAAAGCCTATGTCTATATTTTTAGATTATTTTGTCTTAAATTTGTAATTTTATTGCATGATTTGACAAGTAAACTTGGCTCAGATTGTATAAATTTATTATATTTTATGTTTTATTTTTTATATGGGGTTTAGGTGTTTAATTTGTAATAAGCTTTAAGTACTAACTTTTATTTTTTCACGTGAGCCCATACAATCTTATAACAATTTATGTGAGAGATTGAGCGTCATTTATATCTTCAAATCACTTCATTTAAAGATTGGTTAGAAAAGCTTATAATCAGCTTATAAATCAAGATAAAAAAAATGGATATATAATTGAACTTTGCATAAAGAAATTTTCATAGGTTAGCATTGAAAGTTAACCACATTATGAGAATATATTAAGGTGATTGTAGTATTTCTTAATTATGTAATCAACTAGAAAAATAGAGTAGTGATTGTACTTTCGAATGTATTTATTTTTATAATTGTAGAGAGGTCATTATGTGATAAAAGACATAATAGATATTTAATTAGAAACGTAGGAACAAATTATAAACTTAGATTATTATATATAGATTGAACTATTTACCTGGCGAGTATTACTCCAAACGGTTTACAATAACTCCTGCAAAATAGTTTATAGGTAAGAATTATCAGAAAACATTCCTACAATATGCTAGAAGCTGCTTCTATTAGAGATAGAGAAGAAATGAGAAATATTAAAGTTGAGATGGAAACAAAAATGAAGAAAAAAGAATATTTATAGGCTCAGAAATCACGAGCTCCAATGACCTATCACTCAAAAGTCCATACCTATTTGACGAGACCAATATGATGTGTGCAATAATAACTGGCCATGTGTGCCTCACAACCAATAGCGTGGATAAATTCTAGTAGGAGTTGAGAATTCTAAAAGACCAAATATTTTCATCTTTTTCAACGCATGAATGATTCATCTCCCCCAGAAAAAATATCAGTACTAAAGCGATATAAAATAAATGACCCTAATAAAGACTCCAACTGCAGTCGACTAGAAAAGATAAATGTGACTCATTCCAAACGTGACAAGCGTCTCACCAAAACCCAAACGACAAATCACTCTTTAACAATCATGCTTGCCAAGACGTAGGAGGGCAAATGATATATATAGATGACGTGTGTAATCATATAATACTCGATGGATCTTCATGAGGCTCCACAACACCTAAAAATATAGGGCTCTAATTAGATCCCAGGTGAGATAATAAACCCTACTAAGTCATCTCTATGGACATACTAGACAGTCTCACTGTGAAGAATAGGCCTAGACAACTTATCTCAATCCCATTAATTGAAAGGAGTAGATCATGCATCTATTAAATATGAGTAGACAATCAAGATTAGCTCTGTCTGATAACAACAATTATGATGTCGTCCCATTCTTTCAAGTTATGTGATGTCAACATAAAAGATTTTTGTTCATAAAATGGATGGTAGATGCTTTTGATATTAAGAAAATATATAGTTTTAAAATGGATGGTAGATGCTTTTGATATTAAGAAAATACATAGTTTTATCTCACTCTTCATGTAACTTGATAAGGTTTTTTTAACTATATAAATAAGAAAAAGCTTAAGATTTTGAATTTTAGATTTATAAATCTATAATTACTATTCATTATTTTTTAAATATATGTCTTATTACATTATACTCTATTCAAACTATTACATCTTTCCAAACCCTAATTTAACCATTGAAAGATTTTTCAATCTATCAAAAATGATTTATTTTGTAAGTATTTCAGCTAACTTAACTTCATCATTGCACTGTCAAGAAAAAATCACCACATCACTTATTATCAAAGGAGGTTCATGAACTCGTTAGGATATAATATTACCTTAAGGATTTGAATCCAAAATCATTGAGGAAGGAGAAGAAAAGTGTTACCACTTAAAAAACACTATTTTTTTTTTCTTTTGATAAAAAAACATGATTTAAATAACCAAACATCTCTAGTGGAAGCCCCAATCATTCAACCAGCTTATCATACAAACAATTACACTGTGATATCTATCTGAAGGTAGTAATTATTAATTATTTTTCATTAATCACATATCTTTCCAAACAAGCATAGGGCTATAACGATAGATTTAGAAAGGTAGTACTAATCAACTCTATGTAAACTTGTATTCTTAACTTTTTGCATAACTAAATTCCTAAGAAGCTCATAAATTTGAACCCATTTCATGCGTCTCTTCACAAAACCTTTTGTTCGCGGACCAAGGAATGGAAATGTAACATTTTAAAACTTAGGGGCTAAAATAAAATCAGGTTCAAAGATGGAGACCTAACTTGCAACCTTGTAGCTAGTTCAAAACTATAAATTATTCTCTTTGAAAGCGAACTCCTTCCAAAAGGAAATGGTGTAATCTCACTCTCGCTTGCAAATTCTCCAAGGCCACATCCAACTCCCTAACCTATATTTCCCTCAAAAAGTTCCCTTCAAAGCCGAGAACTTTCACTCCTCTCTCTCAAATTCAACATCAACGTAAGCAACTGGAATCCCAACGTGTTAGCACGCTCGATGGCTGCGAAAACTGAAGAGTTCTTGAGAAGAAAATGCAGATATCTAAGGCAAAGGCGACAATCAAGTAGGAAAATGGACATATTTTTGGGCTCTCTCCTCCGTGCATTCTATCGTTTTATTTCAAAGTCGACTCTGCAAAATGTTTTACTGTACGTCGTACAACTTTCTTTATTTTTTCTTAGCACAATTGCATATAAGCTCAGGTCAAGAGGTTTCCAATCAATCTAGCGTACTGTCTAAACTACTACTTTCGAGCTTTCCATCAGTTCAGATAGGGACCTTATTGACCTTTGTTAGCAACTTGGCACTATTCCTTTTGTCTGGCTAAAAGCTTAGGTTTTTTTCTCATCAATGGAATATATATAGAATATGTGCATGGGACAGTTGCGAATTAAGATGGGTAATTAAGGGCCACGCCACTAATCTGCATACACAATAAACCACTCACTCACTCGCTCGCTGTAATATAACCAGAGTAAAACACATTACCATACATAATATAAAATCCAAACCCAGAGCCCTAGTAACTCATAGGGATGCGAGCCACTCCATGACCCATCCAGCACCTGCATCTCTTATTTATACAACCATGTAATTACTTTTCATCATTTGTAACAAAATGCTTGAGGCTTGTGGCTCGTTTATCTTCTATATATATATATATATATATAGCGAGAGAGAGAGAGAGAGAGAGACCATCTAGTGGTGATCAGATATGATGGTGTCCTGGAAGCTTCCCCTTGATCTTGCCCACCATTCCTTTCTTCTCATGGTGTTGCTCTGCAGAATAATAACTGCGTAGCTCGAGATCCATAATGGTGCCCTGACAGCTTCTCCTTTACCTTCTCTTTTAACCCCTTCTTTCTTCTCCCACCATGCCCATCATCTTCAGACTGTAGAATCCAAATTAACAGTCACCATGCAAGTCGGCAAAAAGGAATAAAAGAAATTAGACCTTTTTAATATCAAAATTCGCTTAATTAAAAGAGAATCCAATACCAAGCAAGAGGCACACCAAATAGCTAGCGGGTACGTAGTGATGCATCGATCATCCTTAATGCTGCAATAAAAACTGCTTTCGAATTTTCATTTTTTGGTTGATTGAGTGGCTCATTAATTAGTCTTATATTAATACTAATCTCCACCACTTTCAAGGTTAAGAAATGACGATTCAGATTGTTTGGAATATTGATAGAATTTAAGGACTTTATCAATGACTTTTAACTGCTGCTTGCGTCTAAATTGAAAGAGCTATTTATTTATTTTTTTTATTATTATTATTTTTTTTTAGAGATTGAAATTCAATTTCCAACGACAAATCATTTTTTTTTTTATATGAACATCTTTTAACATATCATGATATATGTAAACATTAATCAATGACAAGAAGCGGTTAAACTTACATAGTGTTGGAAAAATAGAAAAATATTACTTGAAAATTTTGAATGAAAATACCAAAGCGACTTTATCAAAATTTTATAGGTGACTATCTCGAGGCACAACCTTGCTTTCTTGAGACGATACACGTCATCCATATAATTTTATCCGATGCAACGGATCAAGGATATATTGCACGTCGTCCTAGATATACAACAAGTTCGATCAACTTATCGTGTCTTGACAAGTTTACACTATTTATAAGACTTGAAACTCAATTATAAACTAGCACTACTCTTACCCAAAGAAGAATTTAACAAAAAACAATATGGCTTTTATTGGGAAACAAAAAGCAAGAAAATTGAAAGAAATTCTCTCTCTAAGCAAAATAAAGAAAAAAAATTACTTGCTATTTTTTCACTCTCCACAAAGCAAGGAAAATGTTTCTATTAAAGTGTGTCTCACCAAATGGCAAGAGCCATTTATATAGTGAAAAATATTATTAGTTGGAAAATTGAATTAATTGAAAAAATAAATGAATTAAACAGCAAAAAAGAAAAAGAGACATTGTATTTCATTGCATAAAAAGAGAAAAAAGTGTTACGACAAGCACCATTCAATGTATAAGTTATTGTTTTGAAATAGTAACTTATACCATTCTCTTTAATGGTACAAGTTACTATTTCGAAATAGTAACTTATACCTTTTTTTAAATAATAAATATATTTTTTATTAAAAATAATCCAACAATCCCTCACTTATTTTTAACAAAATATTAGCCATATAATTTTAGATAAGGAAGCAAATATAATACATAATAAGAATGCTAATAGCTTGAACCCTTACTTAGTGTTTCAACAACATTTTTCTCAAGCCAATAGTGAACATTGTCTTGAACTAAGGCTTTTAAGTGAAACAAATATTGTATCACATATATTATATTTAGGTATTCTCACGACAAGTTTCGGAACCAAGCACATTAACGACTTTGTGCTTGATCCCGGCTTCTATGAGTGTTCTAGAGAATTAGCCTTATTCTCATAGGAAGTGGCCCCACTTCCTCACTCATATAGGTGTGCCAATCAAAGATGCTTCCATAACTCTAACATTCCATTCAATAAGAACTATAGACCACATTAAAAGTATCTTCTAAAGAAACTTAACCTTTCTTTCATTATGGAATTCATGCATTTGCACCACAAGGATGAAAAAATATGTTAGTGCATGATAATCAACTACTTTTATGATTCATTTTTCCCTTTGAACTTAGATCTTGGAATCTCCAATCAACTAGGTAGGGTCTCCTCATAAGTAGTTCATTTATCTTTAGGCTTTAGACCCATCCCCCTCGATGCTATCCAGATCTTATCTTTGGCCAAAGCTTTTGTAAAAGGATAGGCTAAATTATCCTTTATGGTTATATTATCAACATTTATGGCACTTTTGTTTATTTATGACCTCACGATATTGTGTTTTCTTCTAAAAAATCTAGATTTTCCATTATAATATCTATTGTGCACGGTTCTAATAACGATTGTGCTATCACAATGAATTAAGACAGGTGGTATAGGTTTTTCTCACATAGGAATTTTATATAAAAGATCACGTAACCAACCTACTTTATCATTGGTTAAGGCTAAAACTATCAATTCTACCTCCATAGTGGATTTTGAAATTATTGATTGTTTTTTAGATTTCCAACATATTGCTCATCTACTTAAAGTAAAAACATATCTAGTGGTAGACAATGAATCATTAGATAAGGTGTTCCAATCGACATCACTGTACCCTTCAAGTACAGACAGGATACTTTTGATATAACAAACCATAATTCATTGTACCTTTCAAGTATCTCATTAGATGGGTTATTGTTTAGCATTGAGTTTGCTAGTACCCCAACAATAAAGGCAATATTAGGTCTTATACGATCCGTAACATACCTAAGACTACCAATAGTACTAGCATACTATTTTTATAACAAATGTCATTATTATTTTTTGTTAGAAATAGATGTAAAATAGTATCAAAGGGAGTTCCCATGAGTTTTCTATCTAAAAAATCATATTTTTTTCAAAAGCTTTTAAACATAATAAGATTGATCAATAAATAATCCACTTGAAACTCTCGAAACTCTCATGCCAAGAATCATATGTGCTTCACCTAAATCCTTCATATCAAAATTATTTTGAAGCAATAATTTACTATTATCAATAACATTCATGTTTGAACCAAAAATTAAAAGATCATCTACGTTTAAGCATATAATCACATGAACATTCTCAAAGGATTTATAATATATGCAATTGTCACTTTCATTTACTTTAAAACCATTATTAAGTAAGTAAGTATCAAATTTTTCATGTTGTTGCTTAGGTGCTTGTTTTAAACCATATAAAGACTTTTGTAACTTACATACCTTCTTTTCATCACCTTGTGCTATAAAACCTTCGAGTTGAGCCATATATATATTTTTTCTTTTAAATCACCGTTTAGAAAAGTTATCTTTACATCCATCCGATATATAAACAAGTTATGAATAGTAGCAACTACAATAAGCAATCTAATAGATGTGACCTTAGTTACTAGAGAAAAGGTATCAAAGAAATTAATATCTTCTTTTTGTTTAAAACTTTTGGTTACTAGTCGAGCTTTGAACTTGTCTATAGACCCATCGAGATTTAATTTCTTTTTAAGTATCCACTTACATCCAATTGTCTTACAACTAGGAGGTAATTCAATTATTTTTCAAGTATCATTTGAAATTAGAGAATCCATTTCATCATTAATACTAATCCATTTCATCACTAATAGCTCCTCTCCAAAAATCTACATCATGAGAAGATAAGGCTTGTTCTAAAGAAATATGATCATCTTATACATTATATAAGTAGTAATCGAACCAAAATCTTTTTCAAATCTAACTCTTTTACGTTTTCTAGGTTTAAAATCACTTTCATTTTCAAATATTGAAGAAGAAAATTCAACACTTGGTTGAAGAATCATACTCCTACTATTTTCTACTTTAAAAAAAAATTTCATGAAAAATAGCATCCAATGATTCAATAATATTTTTATTATCAAAATAAAAAAAATCTATAAGCTTTACTATTCAAAGCATAACCCAAAAAGGCACAAGTATAAGCTTTTTACCAAGTTTTGATCTTTTAGGATTAGGTAGCCTAACAAAAGCTAAACAACCCCACACTTTTAAAAAAAAATTTTAATTTTGGCTTATAACCTTTCCATAATTCATGAGGAGTTAAAAATGTGATTTCATGAGGAATTCTATTCAAAACAAAATTTACAGATAAAACAGACTTCACCCTATAAATTCTTTGGAGTATTAAAACTAACAAGCATAGAATTTACCGGATCAATTAGAGTTCTATTCTTTCTTTTAGCTACACCATTTGAAGAAGGTGAATATGGAGCTGTAACTTAATGTACAATATCATTAGTTTGCATAAAATTATTGAAACTAATAGAGCCATATTCCATACCTCTATCACTACGAAGCTTTTTGATCTTTTTACCAAATATGTTTTCAACTTCTTTTAAAAAAATAGTAAATTTTTCAAAAGCTTTATTTTTATGCTTCATAAGAAAAACATATGAATATTTTGAGAAATCATCAATA